GGAGTTTACCCAGCCGGGACAGTCCGGGGGCTGCGCGGTGCATGTCGTTTTCTGGCCGCCGCCGCGGGCGTCAGCACCCGCGTTCCAAGCGAGGGAGGCGGCTCGGACTGGCAGACCCGAGGATGCGGGCGAGCGCCTGGTCTGCGCGCGTGTCAGTCACTGTCGTTCCTGGGGTCACAGTGACCCGGCGGCTATTAAGCTTCCGGACTCTGGTGGCTACCCTTGATATCTTTCGACATTTCTGTTGAATCCGACTTCTCTGAACCCTTGGATTTCTCTTCGCTCAGTTCCCAAGCCTATAGTGACTCTCGCTGGCGCGTCCAAGGGCAAGTCCCCACCACCCCACTGGGCTAAGCGAAGCTGTGAAGTCCGGGTCCCTTCTCCTTTCTCGATGCACGCAGAATGTCCCTTCTAAAGAGCAGCTGCCAGGCTCGAGTCGCAGCACGGTGTGTCTACCTCTGTGATCCTGCGCTCTGTGCCCAGAGCAGCAGCGTTTTGGCAGCAGGGTGGGCGCAACGTGGGGACCGTCCAGCCTGATGGGCGTGCGGCCCCTCCTCGCTACAGCTAGTCACGGCGGGTGGGCCTCGGGAGGGGCACTCCTGCTCCTGATTGCCTTGCCCTTTCAGAACCATCAGATCTGAGAAAGTTTGGGATGGGTTTTTACTTTCTCCTTGACCACCATGGCCCTACCTGGTTGGTATACGCCCCCCTCCCCGCTCCACCCCCACCCCCACCCCCATCCTGCCACACACACACACCGTGTTGTGTCAGGCCCCCTCAATCTTGCCTGCTTTTTGCCTTTTCTCCACCTCTCGTCGCAATCATTCTGCCCCGGGTGGGAGGCTGCGTGCCCAGGGACACGTGAGGTTTACAGTCTCGGAGGCAGGGATCACAGCAGACTGTCCCTTCCCTGTCCCAGTATTGCCTGTTAATCGATACACCACCATGCGCTTGCTTCAAAAAGAACGCTAGGGCATCTAGCACTTTGTGTCTAGATGAGAGTAACAAAATCAACAGAGATCCCCCCACGCACCCCTGGTGCCAATGTCCCAACTTTGAAGGTGTGGGACGGGTGGCCCCAGCTCCTGGACAGCCTTTCCCTGGGTCTGATCTTTTGGGGAGAAGATAAAACCTTAAGAAACCATGCAGGAGGCAACAATTTCATCCCTTTTCACAGAAGTGAAGACTCAGCTCACTCGACTCCTATCTTCTTCCTGAAGAAGTCTTCATGAGGCCATGTTTGTCACTTGCCATGACATAGATGGGTGGACACTACTGGTTTTAGGGTCATTTCCCTATCTCCAGGACTTCCGGTTGTGGAGAAGGGACTGTCTCTCTTCCTCTAAACTGGCGGAGCCTAAACCCACTTGGAATAGGGACCCTGAGAATCCGATGATGTCTTTATGGCCTGGAAAACACCTGATAGACCTGGACCCGAAATGCTCCTGTATTTCTACAGTTATAGGGTGTGGGGGAGTGGGTGTCTGTGTTTCCAAGCTCCTGGACCAAGAACCTTGAAAAAATAGCTGCGGGTAAGAACCTTTTATTTGGGAAAAGAAGAAAGACAACGCGGGTAGTTGTGGAGCTGCATCTGTCCCCAGTCCTAGATCTCCCGAGTGGCTCTTTCCAGAGTCTGGTTTAAGGTCCTGGTCCTGTGCAAGGCTGTGGGAAGCACAGACCCTCCCTGTCTAACACAGATCGCAGCAAGCCCTCTATCCCTTGCCAAAGCAGGCTCACAGTGCCCCCTTGTGTACAAGTGCTGGAATTTTAAGGCGTTGCCCAAGTCCCAAACCTGTTTTGTTCACCAGAAGGAAGAGTGCTTTGTGGTTCCTAGTCTCCTTAAAGTACAAATAATGACCTCACAAACATTATATAACCACAATGCTTTGTCATGAAAACCTTTGAATTTTGGAGGAGGGAATATTTCAATAGGTTCAAAAATAATTCTGCCACAAGGAAACAGAAGTTATTAGCAGATACTTATTTGGAAGTTGTTATATGCCAGCATCTCCATGTATGGCTAAACATATGCGGTAAATAATAGCATTACCCGCTATCTTACAGAAAAAGACAATACATCTCTGAAACGTTCACTCCCTGTTTGTTCACTCCAGAATCAAGGGGTAGAAAACTATGAAGAGAGAAACCCAGGGCCAGGCTTCCTGCTACTGGACTTTTAGAACCCCAGCAGCTGCTAGAGAAACACGCAGGAAATGTTGGGCTAGTTGTAACAGCTGCATGCGTTATTTATTTTTGATGCTTGCTTTTTAAAAGAGGAAGCCCAAAGCTCCTGAGTTTATTGCCGTGGTTTTTCTTTTCCAAGTTGCCTGAAAAGTCCAATAACATTACTTAATAGTCCTTTGCCTTCTCAAGCACAGACTCTTCCCCTCAGGGAGCCTAGGGGCATTCATTTTGTCTCATTAATCTTCAGCAAGCCAGTGAGTATTTTTATTTCCATTTTACAATTAGGGAAACTGTATTGGAGGAAGATGAATGGCTTGCCCAAGGTCATATGGTAAATCAGGATAGAGACAAGAACAAGCCGGTCTTGTTGAAGCCTCTCCTCCTCCATAGGCAGCAGGGATTGTCCCTTATTTATGTTCAGGGCACTGTCCAATTGGGAAATAAAGCATCCCTCTCGGGAGGGGACTGCTTTTATGAATTAATCATTTGTTAATCAGTCATAAATAAAAGCTCCTGGCTTTTGACATCTCGTTTTCCTCTTTTGCACACTTTTCCCGTTCTTGCTCAAGTCTCTGTGTGAAGCTGAAGGACTTTTGTGCCTCTGCTGCTGGCATAGCACGGCTCTTAAGAGACTTCCCTCATTTCTGAAGTCACAAATGCATAACGACGACAGTATGCACTTGCCCTCTACCTCCTACGGAGATACCTGGCTATAGTCCAGAATGAAAAGGCAAAACAAGAATGGGGTGGGGGTGAGGGTGAGTCGATGGTTCAGTGGGCAAAGTAACTTGCTGCATGAAGTTCTGATCCTGAGTCCAGATCCTTCTGCATCTAACTAAGAAGAGTTAGGCTGGGTGCAGGGGCACGGGTCTGTGGTGCCAGTGCTGGGAGAGAGGGGGGAGTCAGAGACAGGTAGAACCCAGGGTTCAGGAGGTCCAGGTTCAGGTTCACTGAGATACTGAGACCATTTCTCATAAAATAAGGTTGATAGTGATCTGGGAAGTTTTCAGAGGCCTTAGACATACACACAGGCAATCACCTCATGTACACACACACACACACACACACACACACGCAGTGACTAATTGTAAGATTTAGTCAGGAGCTAAAAGCTCATTCCATAGCAATTGCAGCATCCATATTTACATAGAGGAAGTAGAGTTCCAGAAAACTCAGGTTTCCTACATACGTGATGGATCCCATTTCTCTTCCCCCTGCCCATGACTTCATGCTGTATGAAGTTTTACAGCCGGTGGTTACCCGCCCACTGGGGCGTGGCCTCTTATACTATATAAGCTGATGTAGACCATGCGTCCGGCCTCTTTTCCGGCCTCTCTGTTCCGGTTGCGGATTTCGGTTTCTGATCTCCATTCAAGCAGAGGGTTCTGATTTGTGAATCTACCCATAAAAAATAACCATCTGTTTCTCAATTTTGAGCTGGTGTGGGATTTCTCTTAAGCGTCCTTCTTCAACTTTGTACAACATTATCTCCTTTTACTTGGTTATTGTCAAATTCATATTTATTCAGTGTTTATTGAGTAGTCAGTACCAGACACCAAAGCAAAAACCAATTTTTTTCTTCGATAATGGGAACTGGAGAGGTTTAACTGGCAGGTTTTTCTGTTGTTGCTGTTGTTGTTTTTCTAATATGCTCTCCCATCCAATTACTGACCATATCTAACTCGTCTTAGCTTCCAAGATCAGGAGCACCCAGGGGCGTGTGGTTGGAGACCTGCGCTCTGTGAATTTTTGAAATCATACTCTCCTGGCTGGTTATGTGTATCAACTTGACACAAGCTACAGTCGTTAGCGAGGAAGGAACCTCAGTTGAGGGCATGCCTCCATGAGATTCAGCTGTAAGGGTTTTTCTCAATTAGTGATCAGTGGGGAAGGGTCCAGCTCATTGTGAGTGGTTCCATCCCTGGGCTGTTGGTCCTGGGTTCTGTAAGAAAGCAGACTGACGAACCCATGTGAAACAAGTCAGTAAGCAGCACTCTTCCATGGTCTCTGCATCAGCTCCTGCCTCCGGGTTCTAACCCTGCTTGGATTCCTGCCCTGACTTCCTCCAATGATGGACAGGAAGTATAGGGCAAATAAACCCTTTCCTCCCCAACTTATTTTTGGGTCATGGTGTTTTGCCACAGCAATGGAAACTGTAACTAACCCACATACTATTAACTAGATTTTGAAATTGGACCTTGAAGTTCAGAGTCCCTCACACTGCTCTTAAGTGGCTATCATGATCCTGGGCACAGCCTTGACACACCAAGATAATTTACCACACACACCTTTTCAAGTACTTTTAGTTTTTACAAGGTCTTTTTGAGGGATACTACTTTCTAGAGTTTTTTTTTTCATTAATGAAAATTAAAGAAAAAACCCAATACTGATCATTATTTAATATA